CTCTCTTGTGTTTTCCAAGGGAACTTACTCACATGGTTGGGCTTTGAAGTGGTATTCAGACCATAGCAATTGTCATTATCATTGACATTCCATCTCTGAATTTATCCCAGAATTTGAGGCTCACAGCCATTTTTATTTGCATGATCAAATTGGAATGATGGCTTGTGGATCAAAACTTTTGCCCAACAAAATAGTAATGTTAGAACTAAGTCAGTTCCCATTCATGCAAATGATAAGCCTGTTGGATGTAGCTGAGGATCAGTTAATTTACATGTACAATTTTATTTTTAGGGCATGACAAGCAAAGGAGCTATTTGTGATTGAAACTGCCTTTTTTGGCCTTTAACTTGAATCAGGAGGACTCTTGCCTTTAAGTTCTGTGCAGACCAGTGAGGAATAGGGTTCCTTGAATTTGAGTCTCAGCTTTCAGGAGTATTACTCTTCTAAAGAATCCATTCCCTCCTAAATTCCTTTTTGACACTTGAAAATTTTACCCTTTTGTGCCTTTTGTCAACAGTTCAGACGCTCATCTTTTCAGCTCAACTGTGTATTAGTTTCCCTAGCCTACATCCCAGCCTTCTCTCTTGAAGAAACTAATATCACCACCGTTTGGGGGAAAAAAAAAATCGATTTTGGTAAAATTTGAAGCATAACATTACTATGTATAGATTTTAATCCAGATTTCTTCTTGTGTGACATAACTATTTTTCAATGAATTTTTTTCTATCGTCGGTTTTATCAGAGTAAGCAAAAACATCATGAATATGATGACAACCAGTCATCTTCAGTATTTAAAATGACATTCTCAGACATACAAAAAAGTAGAAGAAATGTTACTAGAAACCCACAGTTCTAGATTCTACAATTAACTGTTTACTTTATCAATACGCATGCCAATCCTCTCTCTATGCATCAATCCACCTTTATTATTATTTTTTTGATGCATGAAAGAACCCTCTGATGTTTTAGCCTGACATCAACTGGAATTCAGTATTTTGAGGGGGAAAATGAATGATCCATAAACTTAGAAAAAAGATTAGTAATACTGGTTATTTCTAGGTGATGAAATGATATGTAACCTATTTTTCCTCATATCTTTATTATCTGAAGTTTTCATCTGAGGATATATTTCTATTATAATCAGGAAAATCAATAAATCCATTTGTATGTAGGAAAAAGAAAAACTTGTTTATTGCAGAAGTCTTAGCAAAAAGTGATGAGGCCTGGACTAACAAATATGAAAAGGAGAGGATGAGTTAATGGATTTTTGAGAAACTAACATCCCTGGGACTTACTGACTGTGAGGGCTAAGGAATTGGCCCAGGCTGGGGCTGGGGTTTCTTCTCTTGGTGACCAGGAGATGTGAAGATACATAACATTCTTAGAGATGTTTGGGACTTAGAAAAAACAGACCTCAAAGATATATGCAACTGAAAGAAAGGTCAACTTGACTTAGTATGAATTTTGAATTATAGTTTGAAAGAAGATGTTATAACTGCGTGATACAGTGTATGCTTCCTTTATTAAGTAGTTGGTAAGCTCCTTAAGGGCAGAAACTCATCTTTATATTGTAATTCGTCAATACTTATCATATAACCTGCTTTGTAGAAATTCTCCAAAATGTTTGTCATTGAATGAATTATTCAAACTAAGCTAATAGTATTTCTTAAAAGTAGTCATCATCATACCCGGCTCAAGGAACACATCAAGCTGATTTGTAATCATTTGTAAATAGGTGCTTCCAAAGTGCTTAAAGTAGTGTTTCTCTTAATAAGAAGAGAGATTTTTTTTCTAAACTATCTTAAAATCATTGCCAATGTTTGGCAAATCTCCTGCAGTTTGTAGCAAGTAAAACGATGTGTGTGGTTCCACATACATATGGCACAAGATACTCAAGAAACTGAGGTGATACTGCATATGTATTCCAGATCCCTCTTGTGTATTTTGCTCTACCTTACAAAGATCCTCTGACGCATGGTTTACCACTGTAGTTCACAGGGTTCACAAATTATATGGACCAGGAGGCAGTATATTAGAGTAACTTAAGGACCTGGTGCCCTGAAAGTAGCCAATCTGGCTCTGAATCCCAGTGTTGCCATTTCCTAGCATGTAGACTTAGGTAGTTAAACCAAATCTCTCTCTGTTTTCTCATTTGTACAAGCATGTTACATGGTTATGAGGATAAAATGGAAGTCACTATAATATGCTTAGCACAGGTCTTAGCATGTACTCAGAACTCAAAACATCAGCCATCTTTTTAAAAGATCACATTTGTTTATCCTCTGGGATGGAGGGATTACTCAGAGTACAGGATTTCCTGCATCCTGTTTATGAGAAGATTTATTTGATTTACCTTAATGTGTAAATACCTTCTCTTTGAAACCCTCCCAACACAATGAAAGTCTCGATTCCCTTCCTAAGACAGAGCAAAAAAGTAAGATTGGTGTGAAATTTGAACTCAACGAAATGGACATTTCAGATAACATCCTTCTGGGCTTGTGGCTTTTGATTTATTGTAACCACCGTTAAGAACACTTGTGATAAGACCAGGGCACTGTCTGCAGATGTTACCAGACAGGCTCCAGCTGGTGGTCAGCTCCTTGGAAACAAGCCACAGTAAGCCCATGGTTACTTCAGAATCACCTGCTGGGGCAAGTCATAGCTCAGCAAACCCTTACGTTGCCAAGATTTAGTGTCCTGTGGCAAGTTTCGAGTCACCTGGGAGCAGGAGGCATGTAGAGATCAGACCAGTGCTCAGGCCTTGGCTCATTAAACGTGGTGATACTGTTTGTAAATCTTAAGTCTCACTTGAGGTCCTTTAAACACACTTGCAGGTTGTTGATCCCCAAGTTAACATTTCAAAAGGCGAGACAGGAGTTGTTAAAGTGTTTGGATGAAACGTAGAAGAACTTAGATGTGAAATTCATAGTGTCAGAGTTAATTAGTACCAAATTATAGTAATAGTGCAGCAAAAGCCCACCATTCCTCACAAGTTTTCTTGTAATTACTTCTCCCTCTCACCAGTCAAGCTAGAAGCTAGGAGAATCTTTCACACAAACATATGTTACATGTATGTATTTTTTTCATTTTGGGGACTTAACAATCACGTTATTTTTTTACTATACCTTAGTATGTTATAGTAGGAAATAAACCCATTGTTTTACTTGCTGGATTATTTTTTAAGTGCCCACCTAGGGCACTTAATAACCGCATTTCAGAAACAAGTATCTCAAGCATCATGCTTTAATCACCGTGTAAATTTTCTGAAAATAAACCTGATCTTGAAGTATAGTGTCAGGTTGGAGTTCAAAAATTTTAGAATTAACAAAAAATTTTACAAAGAAATATTTTAAGCTGCATAATAACACTGAGAATGCACACAGGCTGTGTTCCTCTCCCTGCTAATACTTCAAAATTCCCTCTGCCCTCAGCGCCTCAGAATTGGGGAGAAAAGCAACCATTGCCTTTTGTTGGCAGTAGAAGTTATTCAGTAATTTAGTTTCCAGCCAAGTGCAGCCATTGCCATTGCCTCTGGGCACTTGTTCAAAAATGCAGAAATGAAATAACAGATTGGCCAGACCGAGCACAACTCCCCAGTCACAACCCTATTATCTCCCCAGTCTGTCACCCCCATTAGGCAGAAGCCTGGGAAACGGAGGGTGACAACATAGTATTTACATGGCCTGTGCATCTCCACAGCTCAGGGCTTCCTGCCAGTGTCCCTTCTTCATCGTGTTCCCCTGCATGCGTGGTGGGTGACACTGGAGTCTTGGCATCGGAGTCCTCGGCCTGTGCTGCAGGATCACCTCTTCCCCGTCTGTCTGTCGAAAAGGATTTCTGTGCCACTACGAGCCTGGGAAAGGGCTCCTCAGTACTAGGACAACCAGAACAAGATGAAGGGACCAGCTTCCCCTGTTTGTTGACCACCTACCTGTGAATGGATGTGGTTGAGGCTGCTGTGTATGGACTTTTCAGAATCTTGTGTGTATCTCAGTTACCAGGAGGAAGTTGATTTCACGTTATTTATAGCTGTTCTATTCAGGTCAGAGCCAAGCAGAGCAGTTGCTTCATTTAATATCAGCCGTGCTTGGCCTCTGCAGGCTCATCTCCTGAAAAACTGAGATTTCTCTTGACAGAAAGAAAGTAGAGGAGGGTAGGGTCTCTGTTTAATTTAGAGGGAATTATTTCCCGATTGTCACTTGCTGGTGAAATGCCTTTTAAAATTGTAGGCACAAGATGCAGATGTTTGGAGAGGGTGTGGGGTTGCTGTCCCCCTTGGTCAAGTATTAGAGAAACTACAGAACTCAAATGAGAGAAATCCAAAATTTTCTCTTCCAGAATAGCCTACTCTGTAGACAATATTCTTCTTCAATGGTTGTGTTTTTGGAGTGGTTTGTCCCCAGCAAGCTTTCACCTTTTATTCTGTCTTCATTCCATGCACCTGCTCAGTGTAGCCCCATAATTACATCTTTTATGAGTGAGTAATTCTTAGAGGAGATGAAAGGTTCGGGGGATTATTCATCGCTTTGCCCCTAAACCCCTTGTTATGTATCTGGGTGAAAAACGCAGCTGGAGTCAGATTCAGTTACTCAGGGGCCCTGCCCCTATTCAGAATTCCCGATTCAACCCTGCTCTCTACAGGTTTCTGGCCAGTAGGTGATGAAATGTGGGTGAGAGCCTTTCTGCTGGGAAATGGACAGTAACCTTATTCTAAGGGAACACAAGAGAGGACACATCTTACTGATTTTTTAGACAGATGTATTTCCCCTAGAAAGAGCAGGTTTTGGTTCAGGTTAATCCATCGTAGAGAGAAGTATTCTCATGACAGTGTTACTGGGAACGTGTGGGAGAGAGCAGTCCCTCACCTTCCTCAGGTAAGAGAGAAGAGGGTAAGATGAAAACATTCTGTTACAGGTAAGATGGGCTGTGTTAAATATGCGATTGTTGTTTCTTCTTGCTGATTGGACACTAACTGTCCTCTCCATTTCTTTGCACACCAGCTCATACCCCAGACAACAGCTTTCTGGGGTTCGTGGTTGAGCAGCACCTGAACTCCAGTGACATCCACCACATTAATGAAATCAAAAGGCAGAACCAGTCCCTTGTGTATGGCAAAGTGGATAGCTTCTGGAAGGTGAGTCAGTCTGTGCATGTTTTCCTCTCTGAAAAGGAGCTTGTTGGGTAATTTAATTTAACTTTGATCCAGGGAGTAATCAAGCCAAGTGCCCAGGGCTTAATGGGATCTACTTAGACATAAACAAGAATGTGCAAGGATTCAATTGCTCAGTATTTGGGTTTCTAACCAAGGCTGTACCTGCTCTTCTTGTAGTGGCTGTACAGCAGCCCCCTTCACTCTCTGCATGTCAGAAGGGACACATTGTAGCTACTTTCAGATCTCGTACTTGCCTCTGACAGCTAAGGCCCTTAAGAGGTTGAATATCTTTCTCGAGCAAGGCACTGCACAGGGAGAAACTTTACCAAGAGAGTCTTTCCCTCTGCTTCTTGGGAGATAGTTTGTGAAGGTAGGCAGCTCCCTTTCCTGGGAAATGCAGTGGCCTTCACATCCTCTTGGCTATAGTCGCTACTCACCTGATCTGGAAAGTAAATTCCTGCTGAGGCTGACTGTAGGCAGTTTGCTCAGGAAGGTCTTGGCTGAAACAGCACTCTTGGCCACAGACCAAACCAAGTTTTCCAAAAGCATTGGCCCCGTTGGCCCTCCTGAGTTGATTTCCAGAGTACATCTAGGAAAAGTGTAACAGGAGAGAAACCAAGTCGGATGTGACCTATTGACAGGTAATACTGATCTTTTTATGTGGGAAGTCTCCCTCAATAGGTAAATATCATACTTTTTTTTTGAGGAAATGTTTTTAGAAGATAAAAGTCATCGGGAGCTCAAAACATGCCTCTTCCTAAATGTAAGAATTAATCGCTTTCTTGAATGATCACAGACCGTGGTCTCATCTTACTGTGTGGTAGGTGTACCAAGGACAGTTGATATAAGGGATAAAGAATTCCTTGGTACTGCTTTTCTGACCCTGTGTTCAGCAAAGGAAAAGCAGTACCCTACCCCCCAGCTTTAAGGTGCTAACTACACCAAACGGGTGATGAGATCAGCCCATCTCCAGGGAGGCAGATTTAATTCCAGACAACTCTTTGTCATAAACAGCTAGGCTTTTGTCTTTTGCAGCAGTTCTCAACTGCAGACGATTTTATTTACCTATTCTCCTATGCCCAGGGAACACTTGACAGTGTCTAGAGACAATTTTGGTTGTGTTGTCTGGTCAGTGGTACTACGAGCATGTAGTGGGTAGAAGCCAGGGATGCTGTACACATCCTACAATGAATGGGATGGCCCCTGCCACAAAATATCTGTAATAACCAAGGGTGAAAAACCCTTGGCTGGTAAGTAAGAATGTTTCCTATGTATGTTATGCCATACTTTGTTCTCTCAAGTAAAATGAAAATCAATCTGGATTGTAAATGGCTATTTAAGATGGTCCCATCAATTTGTGTAGCTTTCCTTGTGTAAAAATGTGTCCTGTGTTGATAATGCATTTTCCAGATGACTTTCAGCCAAAGTTGGGTTAAAACAGGCATATTGGGTGTTCCCATGCTCAGCTTGGTTGTGAAATTAATGGTTTGTGGCATTGGTTTTAGGAGGACTGTGGCTTTTAAAGAAAAGCCTCTGCAGCTACTTGAAGAAGATAGCTTGTATGTCTGTGTTGGCTTGGTACTGAAATTACATCACTTTGTTTTGGAGCCAAGTGCAACAACCTCCTAGGGCCTCTGGCAACTTTTTTCCCTTTCCCTAGAAAAACAAAATAATAAATTGGTTCTGAAAGCTTTTTGGTCACCTGTTTTGGATAAGTTAACATTGACACTAAAAGGATTACTTTTCTGTGCCAGTAAAAACCCGGAGGCTGGGTGTGGTGGTGCATGCCTGTAATCCCAGCACTTTGGGAGGCTGAAGTAGGTGGATCACCTGAGGTCAAGTGCTCGCAACCAGCCAGACTAACATGGTGAAACCCCCATCTCTACCAAACACAAAAAAATTAGCTGGGCATGGTGGCGCATGACAGTAATCTGAGCTACTTGGAAGACGGAGACAGGAGAATCGCTTATACCTGGGAGGCAGACTTTGCAGGGAGCCGAGATCTCACGCCAGCCTGGGCAACAAGTGTGAAACTCTGTCTTAAAAAAAAAAAAAAGAATCCCTAAAGCATTAATCATGTTGCTGGTGATTTGGAGTGTGATTTTGCAATCCTTTTGAGGTGTTAAAACTCCGTGAGTGCCCAAGCTTCTAATCACCTAAAGATTACAAAAGGTTGCGTTGCAGTAAGTCCACATTCATCTTTGCCTCAATAATAACACCCAAAGCTCCTGGGTGTTATTTCAGTTTTATTACATACAGCATTCTGTGCTGGAAAAAGCCCAAGAAGATGAAAAATCCTGTAAAGTTTTCACATGAATTCAGGACATCTTCTCCAACTCTAGATCACAGCACAGTATGTGAGAATTTAGTTTCTTTTTCTAAAGCATCTGCATCCCAGAGTATTTGGTGAGTGCCTACAGAAAACCAATGTGCCTTTTAAATGAGATGTTATTCCAACCACATTTCTAAAGTTACATTCAACATAGGCTTTAGCTAGCAGGATGTTTTATAAATGGTTTTCCCCATCTTGTGTCTCATTCCCCTCTCCCCTACACAATCCTGATTTGCCTCAGAGATCTTCAGGAAAGGAAATGGCTCCTTTGTGTCCTGGGAGGTTTAAGATTGCAACTGGGGGATGTGTGAGGGCACAGTTTGGACCAGATGATTTTGGAAGGTCTTCCTTCACCTCAGATTCTAGGACTTGAAATTTTGAAGATTCCTGCTGTGCCATGAATCCTGCTCTACTCTTCCCACCACCCTCCTTCTTGAGGGACTCTCCCTACCTACCTACCAGCACTTAAGTGGGAAATGCAACCACGTAACTCCCTCCAGTGTTGGCTGATTGGACCCTGGGGTTGTCTTCTGACCCAGTGCAGTCCAGTGGCTGGAACTATAATTCTAGCTCAGAAAGCTGAGCTGCATCAATGAGATTCTGCACTTGGTGTTGGAAAGCAGAGTCACGGAGAGTGAGCCATGTAAACAGAAATAAAAAAATGTGTCCTTAGCAGGAGCGTGAGGCAGAAGTTTTCCAGGAGTCCACATGATGAAGAGGCAGGAGCAGTGTTGATGGGGAGAGGGCGCTGTTGAGAGGCTAATGCATTCTTCCATAAGGAGGAGAGGCACCACCTTGACAGAAGTAGGGTGCACTAAAGGGCCTGGCAGAGTGGAAGACACAGATACAACTCCTGCGGCCTGGAGAGAGAGAGAGCTGCTGGCGTTCCTGGCAGCTTTCTTGTCCCAGATCATACATCCTTTCTCACACTCTGGTCTTGCAGTATCTTAGTAGTCTGTTCCTATAGTCATATCAATATACTTATTAAAATACTAGATACTAAATGCCTGTCAAGAAAAACAAGTCTATGAAGTATACAGGCTAAGGAGGAGCGGGCTTGTCCTTTAATCTCCTGCCACCAAATTCATGATCTAGGCACTCAGTGGTCTTGTCCTGATGTTAAAGCACATGGTGGGAGGTTGAGGTGGGGAGGGGAATCTTGCCATCAGACTCCAGAATCCCACGGGCATCAACTTAGCAACCACCTCTGACCAAGCCCCTTAATGTCACATGAGACTGCTAACAGCCTAATTCCAGGTACACGTCTCTCTTCTGAACTCAGGAACCTGCAGTTCTGGGTCCCTGACCTCTCCCTCTGACACCAGCTAACCATTAGCTCCTGCTAACACTGGAGATGAGCCCAGAAGAATAGCAATCTGTCCAGTATGGTCAAATTCAAAATCCTTCTACGTTCTTTTAACTGAAGTCATCAGGGAATGGAAAATGAGTCAACTTCGTAAAAAGATTTTTGAAATATAGAAATTGAAGTCTTAACTATATTACTTTAATTTCTGTGTTTCTTTAAAAATAGTATCCTGAGCATAACTGAATCTTCAAGTGATAGTGCTGGGTTTGTATCTTATTTATTCTTGATCCCACCTTAATCTTATTACATGTTAATGCATTATCACTGCTAAGGTAAATGTCCTGGAGGCCTTTCTTTGACCATGTCAGGAGAACAAGAGTTGCCTCTGAGTCACACATTGGGGTTCAGACTCTTAAGTTATGAGGTGATTGACCGTCTTGAGCCTCAGGTTCCTAGCCTGTAAAGTTGGGGCAGTAATAGCTACTGGCTTCCCGGGCTTACTAATGCACACATCACTTGACGATCTTGTTAAAATGCAGATTCTGGTTCATACCTGAGATGAGACTGACACTCTTTCCTTCTCACAAGCATCCAGGTGATACTGATGGACTGTTGGAGGAGCATGCTTTGAGCATCAAGGTCTTAGGATATTTGGGATTTGTACAGTGTGTGGCACAAAGTAGCTGACCAATTAGCAAGAGGAGGAGAACGTCTTTTCTCTTACCTTTGTCTTCCTGCTGCGCTTGTCAGACTGCTAGCTGTCACTTTTTGCTGCTGTGGGTGCCCAGTTCAGTCACCCTCAGTCTCACTTTTGTATTTGCAGACCTTGCTACTCTAGTCTCTGCCACCTAGTCTCAAGACTCAGGTAAAGCTGTGGTGAGCTCTGAGAAGAGGTGAGAGGCACACTGTCTTCCTGCTGTCCTGGTTTGTACATTCAGGTGCCCCTGGGCAATGTGATCAGGAGCATAGACTTGGAGCTGGATAGCGGAGTTCAAATCCTGACTGTGCCATCAGCTGCCTAAGCTTGGGTACATTACTTAGCTGGTGCACAGTAAGTCTAAATACATGTTTGCTGGTCTTATTAATGTCATCACTGGGGCCAGATAGGAAATGCCGCAGTGGCAGTTGGTGGAGGTATGAGCCAGGGAGTTCTATCCTGTGAGGAAATGGAAAACAGAAGCCTGCCCAAACATATTCTAAGTCTTAACCTTTGTAAGTCGTTGGCAATCTCCAGCCTGTGGACCACATCAAGCCCAACATCTGTTTTTGTCAATTACATTTTACTGGACCCGGGCCATGGCCATTCCTTGTCCGTGGCTGCTTTTGCACTAAAATTGTAGAATT